GTGGACCAAAGTGCTTGTGGTCACTCAGTGGTCACTCACCCACCCCGTGGTCACTCAGTGGTCACTCAGTGGTCACTCAGACTCCCTTACCTGGGCTGGTCAGCGCTGTCCATCTGCAGCACAGCTGTGTCCATCCAGGCCATGGTCACTCATTGGTCACTCAGTGGTCACTCAGTGGTCACACAGATGGACACTCAGACCAAGATCCTTGTGGTCACTCACTCAATGGTCACTCAGTGGTCACTCGGTGGTCACTCAATGGTCACTCACGTGTCTTACCTGGGCTGGTCATCGCTGTCCATCCAGGCCATGGTCACTCACTCAATGGTCACTCAATGGTCACTCAATGGTCACTCAATGGTCACTCAATGGCCACTCAATGGTCACTCAATGGTCACTCAGATGGACACTCAGACACTCAGATGATCCACACCCTTGTGGTCACTCAGTGGTCACTCAGTGGTCACTCAGACCAAGATCTTTGCGCTCAGTCACTCAATGGTCACACTCTCACTCATTGGTCACTCAGTGGTCGCTCAATGGTCACTCTTTTACTCATTGATCACTCAATGGTCACTCTCTCACTCAGTGGTCACTCAATGGTCACTCAGACCAAGATCCTTGTGCTCTCTCACTCAATGGTCACTCAATGGTCACTCAATGGTCACTCAGTGGTCACTCAATGGTCACTCAATGGTCACTCACGTGTCTTATCTGGGCTGGTCAGTGCTGTCCATCCAGGCCATGGTCACTCACTCAATGGTCACTCAATGGTCACTCAGTGGTCACTCAGTGGTCACTCAGATGGACACTCAGACACTCAGATGATCCACACCCTTGTGGTCATTCAGTGGTCACTCAATGGTCACTCAGACCAAGATCTTTGTGCTCAGTCACTCAATGGTCACTCTCTCACTCAATGGTCACTCACTCACTCATTGGTCACTCAATGGTCACTCAATGGTCACTCAGATGGACACTCGGACACTCAGATGATCCACACCCATGTGGCACTCAATGGTCACTCGGTGGTCACTCAGACCGAGATCCTTGTGCTCTCTCACTCAATGGTCACTCAATGGTCACCCAGTGGTCACTCGGATGATGCAAACCCTAGTGGTCACTCAGTGGTCACTCACTGGTCACTCACCTGGGCCGCTCAGCGCTATCCATCTGCCTCACCGCCGTGTCCACCCACTCCGTCCACTCTTTGGTCGCGGCCGCGAACCGAACCCTCTCGGCCGCTCCGGCCACTCTCACGCGACACTCCTCGCAAGCGGTCAGCAGCTCCGGCCACGCCTTGACCACTTCCCTCTCGCGGCCGGCGATGGCCTCGGCCTTGGGGCACGGCCGCCTCCGGCCAGGCCGCGGCCACTCGCTCGGTGGTCACTCGGTGGTCACTCAGTGGTCACTCAATGGTCACTCAATGGTCACTCAATGGTCACTCAATGGTCACTCAGTGGTCAATGGTCACTCACGTGTCTTACCTGGGCTGGTCAGTGCTGTC